CTCACACAAGACAGACAGCTTACGGAGGTGTTGAGGCCTCACACTTATACACCCACCCACACGAATATACACACTTACACACATCATACTCACTCACTCCCTAATGAGCCAAATGATAACACATACCCATAGCAATATACACGCTTACAAATATCATACTCACTCACTCCCTAAGAACCAAATAACACACACACACACACACACACACTTAACAGAGACACATCCCCTCTCCAGGACCAATAAAATTGTCAAACTGACCAGGGGTATTCAGAGAAGCATAGATCCATCCAGTTCTTATCTCAAATAACAACTTAAAAGAGACTGTTTGACCAACACAAGGGATGTTAAAAGATTCATGTTAAAAAGATAAAAAAATAAAAAAAAAACAAATGAAAACTACAGACAAAAGTTCATTTTCTCCATCAAGACATTCATTTCTTCATGTATACCTAACTATTTCAGGGTAAGCGTAACCTAGGCCGTCCTTGGTTACACTTCAAGGCTAAACTTAAATACAAATTAATTGCTGCAAACATCCCTATAGAGAAGAAATATTTCTTCTCCTGATGATGGCCATTCTCGCCGAAACTAGTCGAGGAATCTAAATGAAATAATATTAAAAAAACTTGTACCTAGATAGTTTCTGATCTTTCTACCTTGAGTGGCTCTTCAGTCTTGTGTTGTGAACATTAGTACACACACACACACACACACACACACACACACACACACACACACACACACATATATATATATATATATATATATATATATATATATATATGTGTGTGTGTGTAGGGATAGGAATCCGACAAAATTATAAGAAAAAAGAACAAGTCGGAAATAAGTCTCAATCTAACATATTTCACTTTATTAAAGCTTCATCAGAGATCAAGATAGAATCGAAATCAAGATAGAAATCATCTGAATCAGAGATGGAGGTTAATGATATGTTCTTATTGGTTAGATATGTTATTTCATTACACGTGACACTAATCTGAAAAATAAGAAATAACCAATCGAAACACCCTACTACGTCTCACTAACTTTTACACAATTTAACGTTCTGAATGGTTGTCACACACATTTGAATATTATCTGTTACTTCATTACACGTGACACGTATCTAATCAATAAGAAATAATCAAACACAACATACTATTAATCTGCGTCTCTTTGCTTTTTATCATTTTTTATCATTTCTATCTTGATCTCTGACTCAGCTTCAATAAAAGTCTTTAATGAAGAGATAGGGTAATAAAAGGACAAGATTCAGGAAGAAAGAAGATGGTGATTGACACTGTATTTAGATTTTAGAAGATTGTAGGTGGCTGGGAATTAGGAAATCGGAAGAATGTTCCACAAGTGAGAAGTGCCAAATGATTACCATATTGTCTTGGGTATTATATGAGAAATTTTGAATGAAAATTGTTGTCAAAAAGAGGGGTTGCATCATACACAAAAAACCTCTTTTTGACAAAGCAACTTACCTCCCAAAGTCAGCTTTCAGATAAGCAATATGTTTTCTCTTTTCTACGTTAGCTGCTGATGTATTAACAGTTATACATGAAAGATGTTTCCCCTACTTGTTCTTTTCCTATCATTCATTCATATATATATATATATATATATATATATATATATATATATATATATATATAATCTAAGAATGAACAAACCTACCTAGGTTTCACCTAAACAGATGCTGCAGGCATTACCTGAAAGATCTATTTAGGTGAAACCTAGGTGGAAATTATATATATATATATATATATATATATATATATATATATATATATATATATATATATATATATATAGATAAAGCGAAGGAGTCTGACTCCTTAGGATTATCTTAGGTTTTGCTCTACTTTGTGTATTGAGCACTTTACCTAGTTGTCTTTTTACTCGTTTTGTTTTTTTTTTTACTTGGAGCTTAAACACTGGACGATTGTTTTCTTGTTGGTTAAATGTTCTTGGTTCTTTTGTTTTAGTATTCCCCATTTTTCCTCGAGTACCGATCTGTTCGACTGCAAGTTGAACTATCCGAGGTTTTTCCAAACGAGTACCACCATTTATATATATATATATATATATATATATATATATATATATATTGAATGACTTTTAATTGGCCAATCGAAAAATACCAGCAATTATATTTTTAATTATGACCTTAATCCTTCGCATAGCATTGAAACATGAAAACTTTTGTGTAGCATTTTTAAAATGCATTTGTTTTTTTTTTTTTCTTATTTGGCGATATATATATATATATATATATATATATATATATATATATATATATATGTGTGTGTGTGTGTGTATTATGCTCCAGGTTAGGACCAAGGAAGAAATAACGAAGGTATATTACACGAAATAATAATACAACATGTAGAAGGTGTTAGTATGACTGTCAGTCTGGTTTGGAGTGAACTACTATCGGCTCGACTCGATTCGTATGTACCCCCCCACGAGGGTTGAATGTGACACAAGGCCGAGTTTAACGTGGGCTTCCTGAGCCCATAGGCTCGGCCAAAAAATGCCCGTAGCACCCGTATAAACGGGATCGGATGGGTCAACCTCCCCAAACGAGACTGCCCTTCGGCGGAGCCTCGTCCGGGTTCCTCCCTGCTCAGAGGCAGAGAGTTCGACCGTCAAGCCGAGAAGCTCGGCTTGATTCGTCCCTCTCTCATGAGAGGCGTAATATACATAGTGTTAGGAAGAGTTCATTCTGCAGTTTGAGGTATGGACTAATGACAATATATATATATACCAGGGGTAACAAAATGTTTAATATGTAAAAAGACACAAAACTAATTAAGTTTCTTTTATTCTTTTATTCACGTTTTCAGTTACGACTTTTAGCCATCTTTACACCATTTGTCGTAAGATTCACTCAATAACCCTTTGAGTTATTACGCTAGAAAGAGAACATGTTAAAATCGTTTTGTTTCCGACCTACTCTCTTCCCAACTGAGCAATGATGTGAGGAAAAAAGATCATTCAGGCCTTCAGTAATGGTACCAACATTCATACTCTGGCTTCCATCTTCAAAGTTCATTAAGGAAGCATCAACAGAATGGTGAATAAGAAGGAACGGCAGAGTGAAAAACTAGATCAGGAGGTCAAAAGAAGAAGAGGGGTCACCATTCAAGTTAGGGGTAAAAAGGTCAATTGGAGAAAATGTGTGTGTGTGTGTGTGTGAAAATATATAGAAAATAGGAAAGAACTCGTTAGGTAAATAATCCAAAGTTCTTTAGTATTTTTGTTATTATCTTTAAAAACAGTGCTCGATACAAAAGTAGAGCCTAAATATAATTATTTATTTAAAAATATGATTCCATCGCTACATAAGAGTTCTCATGTTTCAAAACAAGAGCCGAAAACTTCAATATAATCATTTGAATTAAATTGAATTAAAGTACCAAGCTCTGTTCCAAAAATTCCCCCAAAAATTCGCTTGATGATGGAACAGAGCTTGGTAATTTAATTCAAATAATTAGGTTGAAGTTTTCGGCTCTTGTTTTGAAACGTAAGAACTCTTATGTAGCGATGGAATCATATTTAAAAATAAATAATTATATATATATATATATTAAAAAGAAGAGATAAATCGCAAACGTTTTTGGTTGTGATGTGAAATTTGTATAAAAAATTCTATGCCTTATTTTCCATAATTTTGCTACACGTGATTTCCATATATTATTAAAAATTATTAATTTTTTTTTGTTTTGCGATGTTAAATATTCTTGATATGAGACATTATCTTTTTTTGTGTTAGTAACCCAAATGTCTGTCTTTTCACTAATACCAAAAAAAAAAGAGATTGTCTCATATCGAGAATATTTAACATCGACAAACATAAAAGAAAAAAATTAATTATTTTTAATAATATGTGGAAATCTCCATCCATTGTCTGATGACGGTCGCGAGAGCGGAAACACGTGTAGCAAAATTATTGAAAATAAAACATAATATTTTTTAAAAAAACGTTTGCGGTTTCTCTCTTCTTTTAAATATACACACTTTTCTTTCGTCGGAACTTCTATAACCTCTTCCTTTTATATATATATATATATATATATATATATATATATATAGTGATTTTCTAAGCCCGGCTTAGATGTGGCACATGGCCGAAAGTATGGTGCACCCAGTGAGGATCGAACTCAGTACTCAGTTGTAATTGACAAGCCTTCTAAACATTACACCACGTCGAGGTGTAATATATATATATATATAAGCGTATATATATATATATATATATATATATATATATATATATATATATATATATATATATATATATATATATATATATATATATATATATATAGTTTCAATCCTTCATGAGCTTCAATCCTTAGCTATAATTAATCAATGATGAACATAACATTTTCGTTAATGATCGATTACATACCGCAACATTATTCAGTAAGCTTCTATCTTGAGTGACTCTTGGGGCTTATATTGTTGGGTGGCACAAGCATTTTTACTTTTCACTGAAGATATGTATCACTCAGTGGGTCCTTTAGGTTTTTAGCTGAACTGTGGGTCTGTAGAGGTTGATCACTTCCCTTTTGAAAATTCTGAACTCTTTTCATCCCGTATATGTGCATAAAGGAGGCTTGGATAGCGGCGGCTCGGACTGTTGAATTGGAGAGCCGAGTTCGAATTTCAGTCGAATCCATTAGACTGGGAAAAGGTGTGAATTCTTCTTTTCTCCCTGCTGCTTTCTGACTAAATATCAGGACAGAATGGGTTCCATAGTCTTTCGCGTAAAACGGCTCTAGAAGAAACGGGCCTGGAGAGGGTCGGCCTCCGTCTGGGCACATCTGGCTGCGGATGCGATACCTGTGCTGTCCCTACGACCCTGATGGGCCACAGGATTCGTGATGTGTGTGTAGCTCGTTCGTTCATTCGTTGTTCCAGGAAGTGCTTCCATATAATTATTGCTTCGGTTTCCGAATGCCGCACAAGCTTCACCTTCCTGCCAGATGACCCCGGATGACAACTACAAACCCCCTTACACTAACCTCACAAGACAACCTAGAGGTCATTTCCTTTGTCATTACATCATACACCTGTATTTCTCAGCCGTGCGCGCTGACACCGAAGTTCATTTCCAGGTCATTCTGCAGACATTTCCTATGTCATTTCCAGGTCAGACACCTGCGCTTCCATGACAAAGAGAACAGGCCATTACACATTACATCACAAAATCACACACATATATATATATATATATATATATATATATATATATATATATATATATATATATATATATATATATATATATATATATATATATATATATATATATATATAGAGAGAGAGTGGAGGCACAGTGCAGTAATGAATAGCGGCTTGATTGAGGAATCGGAGAGCCGAGTTCGAATTCCAGTCGAGTCCATTATATTCACTTGCTAATTCCCTTGGGAAAAGGTGTGAATCCTCTTCTTCTCCCTCTAGCTATGGATAAATAGAAGGACAGACTGGGTTCTATAGCCTTGATGGCAATGGGCTAGAGAAGGACAATTCTGAATTCCAAACCTTCGGGGGGGTGTGGACCTTGTGGCACGTAGTGCACCAGGTCTCTGTATTCGGCCCTTCAAAAAGTATGAATGGTCCTGCACGAACCATTCACCATTATAATCAAATCTTATGTGCTGTTGTCGGGCTGTCGGTTACCTAGGAACTGATTTGCTTGACCCTCATACGTCGAATTCGACGGGAGAGTCGAGTATATATATATATATATATATATATATGCTTTATATAGTGTAAGTGCGCGGTACTTATTGGAAAGCACTCAATATCAGTGATAGAGTAACCATGGGTTTCACGCATTCGTGTCTGGGGATCGCAAAAGCGTGAAACCCGCGTCCATACAAAGTATCTATCTCATTCTATTCATAAATATCTACCAAGATTATTTCTATCTATCTATCTATCTATCTATCTATCTATCTATCTCTATGTGTGTGTGTGTGTGTGTGTGTGTGTATACATATATATATATCGGGTGTAGAAGGAAAATTTTTCCTGTAACAGCATTATTTTCCAATTTTTAAATTAAGATTTTTCCTATCTTAGAAATGATTAATGATGTCTTACTGGAATTCTTCGAGGTGTTAATAACACTATTGGACTCTACTCTGAGCAATAAGAATGTAAAATTACTCTCCAAGCAGGAGGACTGATATTACATAACATTTCAGCTCTCTTTTCTTTGTTTCTGTTGTTTAAAGTCTCTTCTTCATCTGTGAACACATTGTCCAGTATTCACTGCCATATAGGAGGACTGATATTACATAACAGTTCAGCTCTCTTTTCTTTGTTTCTGCTGCTTCAAGTCTCTTCTTCATCCGTGAAGAGATTGTCCAGCATTCACTGCCATATAGGAGGACTGATATTACATAACAATTCAGCTCTCTTTTCTTTGTTTCTGCTGCTTCAAGTCTCTTCTTCATCCGTGAAGAGATTGTCCAGCATTCACTGCCATATAGGAGGACTGATATTACATAACAGTTCAGCTCTCTTTTCTTTGTTTCAGTTGCTTCAAGTCTCTTCTTCATCTGTGAGGAGAGTGTCCAGCATTCACTGCCATATAGAAGGACTGATATTACATAACAGTTCAGCTCTCTTTTCTTTGTTTCTGCTGCTTCAAGTCTTATCTTCATCCGTGAAGAGATTGTCCAGCATTCACTGCCATATAGGAGGACTGATATTACATAACAGTTCAGCTCTCTTTTCTTTGTTTCTGCTGCTTCAAGTCTCTTCTTCATCCGTGAAGAGATTGTCCAGCATTCACTGCCATATAAGAGGACTGATATTACATAAAAATTCAGCTCTCTTTTCTTCGAAAATTATAACATAAGTATGCATATATATATTATAACATAAATATGTATATATATATACATATATATATATATATATATATATATATATAACATAAATATGTATATATAAATATATATATAAATATGTATATATAATATATGTATATATAAATATGTTTCAGTGATATATGTATATATAAATATAAATACATATGTTTGAGTAATATATGTTTATATATAGATATGTTTGAGTGAAACCTTCCCTCATGATATATTTTATTGTATCTTTTTTCCTTTTATGTCGGTTTTCTTCTTCACCCCTTACCCATCTCTATCTAGAGATATCATACGTTAAGTTAAGCGATGTCTGGCCCACACCAAGTGGGGTTAGGGATAAAGAATTGAAATGGTACATCTAACTCACTCATGTCTTCTCCCTGCCCCCTCATTCTTCACTTCGTTAATTTACTTTCCTATTTTCCATATATTTTAACACACACCCACACACACACACATATATATATATATATATGTTACATATATATACATATGTTACAGATATATATATATATATATGTTACAGATATATATATATATATATATGTGTGTGTATATGTTACAGATATATATATATGTTACAGATATATATATATATATATATATGTTACAGATATATATATATATATATGTGTGTGTGTGTGCTACATACGGACAAACAATTATTCACGAAAAAGATGCATAACAATGTTTGTCCCTCAACAGTCGAGATGCGTTCGCATCGAAGCAAAACTGCATCTTTGTCATGAGTACTTGTTTGTCTACACGTAACATCTTTATAATAAATAACTATTGCCCTACTCTTGGTATTGAGTCCTCATTTAAATTAATGCTATGAGCGTTTGAATTTATATCCTTTTAGTTCTCGTTACATTTGAATATATATATATATATATATATATATATATATATATATATATATATATATATAATAAAAAAAACAGACCACTTTAAGGTCCCATATAATAAATTATTTCACCAAAGCCCTTTTAAAGGGCTCTGGATGATCAGATTTTACTTCCAAATGTTGAAATGAAAAATAAAAATGGTACATCTCTCTCATGTCTTCTTTCCCCACCCCCTAACTTCCTCACTTCGTTAATTTACATATGCTTAATACGGCCCGTCAAGAATGTGTAAATTTCTTTTCATTTTTCATTTCAATCTTTGGAAGTAAAATCTGATGATCCAGAGCCCTTTAATAGGGCTGTGGTGAAATAATTTATTACATGGAACCTTAAAGTAGTCTGTTTTTATTCAAATATAAATATGTATATATATATAACATAAATATGTATATAAAAATATGTATATATACATAAATATGCATATATATACACAGTTTAACCTGGATATAAGAGACCCGGATATAAGAGAACCCCGGTATAAGAGAGATTTTCTCTGGCCCCAAATTAGAGCCCATACTTACCTAAACAAAATAGACCAAACACGGATATAGTCGAAACCCGGATATAAGAGACTTCTTCTCCGGTCCCGACAACTCTCTTATATCCGGGTTACACTGTATATGTTATTATTATTATTATTATTATTATTATGACTATTATTATTATTACAGGTTCATTTTCCAAAATATTCAACACTCTAACCTTCTAACTTTCTATTGTGAAGTAACATCAAACTCTGAAGCGTTATATCTTAGAAATGATTAAAGATATATTACTGGAATTCTCCGAGGTTTTTCGGATATTATTTGATTCTACCTTGAGCAATAAGAATGTATAATTACTCTCCAAGCTTAACAGAAGAATCATAATGGACAATTATCGCAATTTTGAAAATTTGGACAATTTTGCTGTGACACTCGTTATATAACTCAAACTCCAGGCGAGCCCGACACGCCAAAGTTCGGGATAAACGATTCTACAAGTATTCAAAACAATGCCCCCTCCACCACCCCCACAGAAAATATATCTTAAACAGTCAAAACATGAAGAGATATTAACCAAACCTGAAACAAAAGCGCTTGAAAATAGTTAAAGTGGCCAAAAGCGATTGAGACAATTGACAACATGAACAATTTTTCACTCCCACGGAAAAAAGTAAGAACGATGGAAAAAAAACAATTAAAAAATTAATTAATTAGTCTTCATTGTTTGTTATATTTCACGAAAGTTGTTTAAAAGAAAGGTTCGTGTTCATATATATATATATATATATATATATATATATATATATATATATATTGACCACTAATGTTTTTAATCATATGTAGAATGTCCACGTTTCGCCTGATGAAAGTCGCGAGACCAGAAACACGTGTAGCAAAATTATGAAAAATAAAGCATAATATTTTTTTTAATAAATACACATTACATCCTAAAGCCTTAGCGGTTTCTCTCTTCTTTTTACTATACGCACTTCTCTCTCGTTGGAACTACTATAACCTTTTCCCTATATATATATATATATATATATATATTATAATATAATATAATATAATATGAAATGCTGAAACACTCGGTCTGATGAATTGGATAGTGATATGTCATATGTTGAGCCTTGTATATTATATTCTTACTCTGTCCTGGACATTGAGTTCTACCTGGATTCTATCATCTTGTGAATTTATATATATATATATATATATAAATATATATATTAAAAAGGCTTAAACACTAATATTCCGTGGTCATAATTTATTCCATTAATATTAGTGTTTAAGCCTTTTTATTATATCCTTACTCTGTCCTAGACATTGAGTTCTACCTGGATTCTTCCTCTTGGAATTTTTTTTTTTTCTAAAAATATACATGTATGGGTATTTATATATTTTGCATATATATGTATATTTTCAACTAATATCTCTCTCTCTCTCTATATATATATATATATATATATATATATATATATATAGAACTCTTATATAGCGAGGGATCATATTTTTTTAAAAAATAATTATATATATATATATATATATATATATATATATATATATATATATATATAAAAATCGTCTTAAGGTGTGCTATATTTATGGGATAAAGTGCTCAATATCAGAGATAGGCGTGTGTAAATATAAAAGTGAACATACAACACTTAACAGTCTGTTTCATATATAAATAATCGAGAAAATAACAGTGCTGTTATTTTTTTCTCGACGATTTATATATATATACAGACTTAGTGGTGTTTTTACTTGTATGTTCACCCACAATATATATATATATATATATATTTTACAGGGTGTTTCCCCAAAATGTATACACTCCTTGAATCTTTATATCTTATTCAATTTGTATATTTTGACTTGTAAATAAGATTAATAGAGAAAGAATACACATTTAAAGAATTTGAGAGTAAAATATACAAAAAATAACATAGAAAATTAACTTTAATAAGATAAAAGCTATTTGGGGCAATGGCAGAATGTTCATATAATGATGAGTTCACACCAAGTGCTCAAAATGGTTGCCGTTCTGTATAATACACTTTTCATATGTTGAAGAAATAGGCCTACAAACGTTCAGTATCATTTCCTTTGGTATTTGAGAACATTCTTCTTCAATTGCTACTCTCATTTCAGCAATTGTTTCAGGTTTCCTTCTGTAAACTTTGTCATTTAGAAACCCCACAAAAAGAAATCCAAGTGTGTTAAATCTGGTTTATCTAGGTGGGCAATCAACTGTCTCTCTTCCAATATATATTCTTTCTTCTTTTTCTTGGCTTGGCTTCACGAACGAAAATCTATGAAGTGGGCTGTCCACGGCGACTGATGGCACGCTGATGGCCGACTAGGCCGATACGGGGCAGGCAAGTCCGGCCGCAGCGACTGCAATTAAAGTTCTGGTCTGGTCTGGTCTGGTCTGGTCTGGTATAGCTGCTGAAGCTTCCCAGTCCTTCCACCCGCGGCGTTTCTCCTTCAGGTTGGCGCCGAGATAGTCCTCAAAGGTGGAGACGGCCTGGTGGACTGTGGCAGCACCTCCCTCATTGCACCAAAGATAAAGGGTCGTCGGTGGAATATCGAGGCCAGCGGGACCTTGGTTGCGGGTACTAGGCGTTTTTTGATCTGGCTCATGTGCACGCGCTTTGAGTTTCCCACTTTAAACCGCCTGTA